CGTCACATTATAAACCCCCACGGCTGAAAGGGCGAGCATGTTTGATGGGACAGGGATTCTAACCCGCGACTGTCAGATTGCGAGTCGAGTGCCCTAACCACCTGGCCATGCCGGGCCTTTCAAGTTGAATAAACCTATCAAACTTTTCCAATCTTGAATTGAAATAGCTTCTTGGACCCTTACCAGGTTATTGTAAACGTGTTTAAAAACGACGCGAAATAGGTCGATCTCTGAGAGGCGTTTTGGGATTTGTGGTATTTAATAATTTTTACGTTATCCAAGTGTTAGAAAAATGTCATGTATTTATGTGTTTTAAAAGATTTTTTTTATATTACAGTTACAATTTAAACACCTCTGAGAGTTAACAGTTATGTAAAAAATACTTTTATTTATTGGGCATAGGTAGTAGATCTCCTGAACGACTTATACACCTGTTTTGATTCCATCATAGAAAATTTTGATGTCTACAAGGTAAGTCTTGTTTTTTTTAGAAATATCTGTAGAAACCACGAATCAAATGCTGGTGTTTTGCAACATAATGATGTACGAATATTAAGCCAACTTGGATTATTTTCACTTAAAGTTGTTGTTTTTATGTAGTAGGAATCCGAATTTTGGAATTTCATTTTATATAGCCACGTCCCCAAAGAACTTTACAATTAGCAAACATAATTTTAAGTTTTAATAATATATATAAATTTGTTTGTTGTTAAGCACAAAGCTACAATATGGGCTATCTATGATGTGCCCATCGCGGGTATCGAAGCCCGGTTTTTAGCGTCATAAGCCTTCAGACCTACCGTTGAACCACTGAGGACAATATTATAAGACAGCGTTAAGAAGGAGGCTATGTATAACAAGCATCAAATGTAAAGTGGTTTGACAATGTCATATTTTGAAAAGGATGCATTGATGCATCACGGATATCGAAGCCCAGCGTCATAAGCCTTCAGACCTACCGCTGAACCACTGAGGACAAGGTTATAAGACAGCGTTAAGAAGGAGGCTATGTATAACAGGCATCAAATGTAAAGTGGTTTGACAATGTCATATTTTGAAAAGGATGCATTGATTAATGTTGTTAAGCTATACGATGGACTGTCTACGCTCAACCCATCACGGGTATCGAAACCCGATTTTTATAGTTGTAAGCCTGTAGACTAACCGCTGAGCCCTTGGGGGGGGCATTTAGAAAAGGAGTTAGTCATACATTTTTGGAGCATGCACTATAAATACTAGGCTTCGTGACATCTTCAAGAAAATATGGGTTGTTTCAAAACTAAAAAATGCTGACATCTGTTGTTGTTTTTTAAATAGTTTTACCGGGGTATTGGTAGATGCACTTTATAATTTAGATTTATTGTTGCCTTTGCTTCATTGTTGATTGCGCTCTTGCCTGAAAACGTTGTTTTCGTTGTTACAAGCCTATGTTTCCCAAAGGATTATAGAGTACAGTCCTTGTCACAGAATCTCCACTGTGCGTGAATGTCAGCTTCCTTCAAAGACACAAAAGTCCATTGGAGCCCCCCATCGGAGAACTTAACAGCTCTGTGATGGAATACCTGTTTCTTCCACCATGTTCCTCATTTTGAGGCGTGTGATCCTTCAGCAGTTTGAAAGCTTTGTTTATTATTTTGCTATTACGATTCCAGTAATTATGCCCAACTTCATCATAATGGCGGCTTTTATTAAGTAGATAAAGGTGTTGCTCCGAGTTGGTCTAGAGAATTATTTCACAATTCGTTGCTGTCCTAAGTGCGCTATTTTCTGGATTTTTCTTTTCCACAGAGAACATTTAAAAGCTTCCTTCTTCGAAATGTTGTGTTATTTGGTTCCATGTTCTCCAAAAATATTGTTACTTGAACATTTCTATTCGGAAAGCTTTTTTTAAGAATCTCCAAACACAATTTATCCGTGGTAGCACTGCACTGTCGGATGTTCGATAATCCGCTGTGAACCAAATATATAGATATTAACTATGTTGTAGGTGGCGCCATGACTCTCACCTGCGGAGACGCACTACTGATTAACGTATACTAATTGTTCAAATAAGGCGTGATTAACTTTTCGTATGTCATGGAGAAAGCCACATTGGGCTATCTGCTGTGTCCACCGCGGGGTATCGAACCCCCGGATTTTACCCTTGTAAGCCAATAGACTTACTGCTGTCCCACCGGAGGACATACCGTGGAGGAAAAAAAACTAGATGTTTTATTTTGCTTCTTTGTATTTACAGTAGTAGCATCTGTTACATAAAAAGAAACACATTCTTTTAATGAAGCCCCCCAGTAGCACAGCGGTATGTCTACGCTAGAAACCGGGTTTCGATACCCGTGGTGGGCAGAGCACAGATAGCCAATTGTGTAGCTTTGTGCTTAATACCAAACAAACTTTAAATGAAAATAACTATGTTCTTAAATTATCGACGGTTTTTACCCTGAAGAAAAGTATGTGCATACATCTGGTAAATTATATTGTTTGAGAGGTCTTTTTAACACGTTAGATTAATAAATTCATCATTAAATATATGGCAATCAATCATTCTATCTTCTTTACAGGTTGAAACCATAGGAGATGCATACATGGTAGTATCAGGGTTACCCGTTCGTAATGGAAACTTTCATGCACGAGAAGTAGCCCGGATGTCGATAGCCTTGTTGAATGCTGTAGTGTCATTTACGATACGTCACAGGACAAATGAACAACTTAAACTGAGAATAGGAATTCATACAGGTTAGTTGGCATTTTGCATATTAAGATATAAAAGTTGTATATATATTGAAATAACTAAAAGAAGTAATATTAGTCACGTCCTAAATGTTTTTGCGACGTTAGATTTGTATTAGGCAAATATGGATACAAGTTCGAACTCGCGACCCTCAGATTGCGAGTCGAGTGCCCTAACCACCTCGCCATGCCGGGCCATTTAGCAGTGATACACTAGAGAAAACGCAGATAGTCATCACCACCCAACATCAACTCTTGGGCTACTTTTTTACCAACGAATAGTGGGATTGACCGTCACATTATAACGCCCCCACGGCTGAAAGGGCGAGCATGTTTGGTAGGACGGGGATTCGAACCCGCGACCCTCAGATTGCGAGTCGAGCGCCTTATCCACCTGGCCATGCCGGGCCTAAAGCAGCCGCACTCAAATGGTTAAAGAAAACTTCGTAGTTCCTCGTGTGTTAAAAGTACCATACTCCACAAAACACAAAAGAATTAAACAATAAATTTAAACAATATGAAACTCTATAGTGAATTAATTCGAAAGACAAGGATGTCTGGAATGGTAATATGTGATGTTCAAATTACCCTTGTAATCCGGACTCCGTATTCGTCGAATAAAGTTGGGAACCCTCCAACTCCAACCAGTTTTGCTAGACGGTGAATGTTTTTCCATAAATGTTGTCAATTTGAGAAGAGAAAGTTTACGTAGTTTCATTAGTTGTATGCAAGACAGACTGTTGATATCCACAGAAATAGATGGGGAATTAGCGGATAATAGTGCCGGAAAATGAGATTCATTGTCAATTTTCTTTGAAAGAAGTCTAAAAGATGGAAATTCACATAATTACTGTATGTAGAGGTTAGCCGTTTTTTTTTTCAAAATACATTTATAAATTAAAAAATAGGTATAAATTACACTAATAAATAATCCTGCTTTTTGGAGAACCCGAATGGAAATATCTCGAAAACATTTATTTTGCTTAAAAGTGCAAACATCGGTAACTTCACAGCAATAAGTGTTTTACGCGTTTTAAATTTTGTTTAACATATACAAAATTAAGTTTAAATGAGGGATTTTATAAGTTTGTTTCATATTTTCAGATTATGGTTAGTTCGTGGTTTGCTTTACTTATTATATGGCCACTTAATTCAAACGAATACGAAGTTTTGAAGCAAGATTGTCATCTGTTTCTTACTAAATCGTTGATTTCTTGGTTATTTAAATATGTATTTTCAGATTATGGTTAGTTCGTGGTTTGCTTTACTTATTATATGGCCACTTAATTCAAACGAGTACGAAGCTTTTGAAGCAAGATTGTCATCTGTTTCTTACTAAATCGTTGATTTTTTGGTTATTTAAATATGTATTTTCATTTAAATATTTTGCAATAAAGTTGAAGCCTATGAAACAGCTTACATGGAAGTCCTTGTTAATGACGATCCTACACCTGAATCACATCTATCTCTGTAGTTTGCTTCTTCCATCTTTGTTTTCCTACCCAGGTCAGCAATTAAATCAGGTTCTTTCACCTTAAAACCTGTAGAAACAATAGAATCAAGTTATAAACAATCGCTGTAATCATTCTAAATGTGTGTCATTTCTTTCATATTTTGATGTTAAACCTCTTTCTGTAGATAATATTGTATTTATAAAATAAATGAACACGCACTATATGCGTTAATCATGTATGTAAAAATGTTCTGCCACTATGATAAAAAATGCTTTCATTTTGTTCCGTACTGCACTATAAGACCAATAGTATTGTTTTATGTTTTGAGAGGAAATTTATTTTATCAATAATATCTTTCTAGAATTAGGAGGATTTATTTTAATCAATACGTAAGTTTCTGCCTTGCATATGATTTTATTTATGATTTTCAATTTGAAAATGTTTTAACATGTTAACTTAACATGAAATAAACACGAGTATGGTTTTATTCTCCTTAAAAATAAGCTTCATCAAAGTAAAGTGAAACTTTCTGATTTTTACATGATTTGGATTATAAAGTTAAATAAGAAAATGTTTTAACGTATTACTACATGAAATAAACATAAATGTATAGTTATATTTTCCTTAAAAATAATCTTCATTCAAGCGAAGTGAATCATACACGTCAAGACTCAGGCTATACTCAATGACTTATCAAAATGGAAAGCAAGTTACCTATTTTTTTTTACGCTATTCAAATCCATAATGAAAGAACATTTCTGTGATCTTATTAATTTGAAATATTTTGTTATACTTTAGTTACATGTTAACCCTAAAAATTAAAATAGAAACATTTTCAGGTTTAAAACAGGATGAACTGTTTATATGTGCATATAAACAAACCTTAATGCAAGTGACATCTTGTAATTTATTTCCATCGTGTTATTGCAAGACATTAACGAATATCATACACACCCTATTTCGGGATTTTATATTAAAAGTTACATCTTGAAAGTGTTGAAACATTATTCAATCTTTTATTTCTGACCACTCCTTTGTGAAGTTTGTCAGTCAGCATTGGCTTATCTAGGAACAAGTTAAAAATCGATTCAAAAATGTAATTTTGGAATTATTTATGTCAAAAAGTACAACAATCGCGCAATATACTGCAGAACTCAGAGGAATTCCCTTTTAGTACAGAATAAAGTGAAAAAAAAATCCCATTCAACAAAATGGAACTGTAAAAACACACTTTCCGGACTACTCGATAAAAAAAGAGAATCAGAAAGAAAGTGATTTCCAAATTTCAAAACTCAGAGTAATTCCCTTTTAGTACAGAATAAAGTGAAAAAAGATCCCATTCAACAAAATGGAACTGTAAAAACACACTTTCCGGACTACTCGATAAAAAAAAGAGAATCAGAAAGAAAGTGATTTCCAAATTTCAAAACTCAGAGTAATTCCCTTTTAGTACAGAGTAAAGTGAAAAAAGATCCCATTCAACAAAATGGAACTGTAAAAACACACTTTCCGGCCTACTCGATAAAAAAAAAAGAGAATCAGAAAGAAAATGATTTCCAAATTTCAAAACTAATAACAAATGAGAGAAATGTTATTCTATTAGAGATGAGTCAGTATAGAAATAAAGGTATGATAACAACTATAAACAGTTACCGTTCATAAGTATGGAGTTATTAAGTCTGGATCATAAATCAATATTTACATGTATGATCCTATTCATTACATAGAAACTTTAGGCAAGTAAGTTTAAAAGTTAATCGCACTTCATAAAACAATTCTCCAAGTCACGTGCTTCTCTTGGAACTACTTCCCCTATCGTCGATCTCGCACAATCCGATATCCATGATTCTGAATTACTGCCAACACCACAATTTCAATTGTAACAAGCTTCTAAGAAAGACAATTAAATCGATCTTTGATCCATGGTCTTAGTAAAGATCTTCCATTATACATGATCATTAACTTACAAGACCATGTTTTAGAAAATCGAATGCACAGAAGTCAGGTGACTTCTAAAGAAGAGGAAGCTTCATCTTATAATTTTACAAGGACTATTTGTGTCCCTAATTTGGAGCCCAGAGACTAGAAGAAAGGCAGTTAATCAATAACATCCAACTCCAACTCTTGGGCGACTCTTTTTCTGACCAAATAGTGGTATTTGACAGTCACTCTAATAGTGTACTTACAATCCCAAAGTGTGGAGTGCGTTTTAGTGGCAATTGGAACAGAACCATGAATCCTTACATTCACAGTCCAGTCACGTTAATCACTAAGCTACGCCTGGTACATAGAATATAGCACAAATACTGTAGAAATACTACTGTGCTCTTACATTGTGATCTTTAACGCTTACCTTATTGGGCGTACTAGCTATGCGGTGTAAACATTTCATGGCGCATAAAACATTCTTCTAAGAGTGATTAATGTTTACCTGTGCTGTACTGATAACTTTGTGAAGTTTAAATTTCCCATTACATGAGTACACTGTGGCAACCATCAGGCTCGACAAGAAACTTTCTTGACATTTTTTGTACCATGTTAGAAAGTTCAGATGTTGGAAAAACTTTCAACATTTAAGTAAAAAGTATTGTTCATGCATATTGTCTCTCTCCAACATATGTCTTATGGTTTTTACTCCTCTACAAAGGAATGGTCTTTTGAATTCGAATACATACAACTGGTTGATTAGGATATGTAGAACTTGTTTATATTTGAGAGTTGACTGTCAGTGTTATCATATAGCTTTAGCTGTAGTAGTCCTGAATCACCCCTTAAACGTTTGTACCATACCATGTTACACCTACTAGGGTTGATTCATGTACTACAGTTTACCTTGTAAGTGAAGATAGCGAAAAGACATCATAAAAAAAAATTTAGTATTGACATTTAATAACATTTATTCCTAGATAGACGAACCGTTAAATAGTAAGGAATAATAACATCCATATAAGTATTCGATTAGGAATATAATGAGGAAAATCAAAGATCATAAATAGCATATTTCTATGATTATTTGTATAATATTTTAATAAAGGCAAAATAGCATGAAATAATCTGAAAATAATCATTTTAGGTAAATTACATAGATCTTTCTTCGGTGATATTGTAAATGGCCGTCTATGGACAATATCAACCAGTTTTCCATAACATAAGCTTGAAATCCATAATGAAAAACTTCATCAAATATAGCCTAGAAATTTACTGAATAATAAATAAACTTTGGAGAATAATTATACAGTAATTTTTTACCTGCTCTTCGAATTTACTGTTTGAGAGAGTCACAATAAAGTTTTTTTTTATGATGTCTAATCACAAATTTATTATTTTGATCTATAAAAGTAACATTTAAGGCACAACAGTTTCATGCTAGTCCTAAGATATCTGCTAAAATTATAAAAAAATAGCTCTTATGGAGTTATTATGTTTTGTCTAGATACAAAGTTTGAGCTTTAAAAATTGTTCATGATCATTTTTAGCCCTGTTGTTATTCGGGATTTTATCATAAGGGTCTTAACACAATATTTCGAATGGGAATATCATATACTTAAAAAATTCACTTTAGATTATCGACTGGTTTTATTAACCAAAATAAGTAAAAGATTTTGGGTTGCATATTAATTAACACATTAGTTTTTCTAATTTTTATGATAAAATTTTAGGGTTGTAGCTATTACAGTTTTCAGCCTTTTCAAAAATAGTTAAGGTTTCTTTTTTAACGCTTGTCATAAGGAGAACAATCTATAATACCTTCTTAATATAAAATAACGCTAAGCTATTACCATGATGCTATATAACATAGAAAATTTAGAAAAGGAAATTATAATATATATAATACCTTCGGAACCCCCGGTATGGCAACAATCATTTCTGTCGGTACTGTAAGTGCTTAAAACGTGAGGGTGTTCAGGCAAGTTATCATAAACACTAGTGCGTTCTTCACCATTTTCATCTTCAAAAGGCAAAGATATAAAACAGTTTTCACTCTTAACATTTTGATTTCCCTTGAGATGGCATCTTGATGAGCTGTTTGATTTTTTTTCATCATCTTTATGATCTTGAGTGCCTCTCCTTAAGTTCTTACCTACAAGATCAAATGCAGGATTTGAAAACCGCCCAATACTTCTGGATACACTACTAGTCGCGATTCTCCTCATATCGTTTATTCGTTCACCAGAAGACTCTGTGCTGTCGAATACATTGGTATCAATTCCAAGTAACTGATGCCACCTCGAGTTTTGAGAGATAACTTGCGTTTTGTAACGGCCCCCATCTGAACAATCTTCTGAGTTAGATATGCGATCTGACGTGATACTGTCCTTAGATTGCCGATGCAACAGACGAGGTGAGGATGTGCTACTACTTGCTGGACTTTCGTCTGGAACACTACCTCTAGGAAACCAGTTCCTGCGCATATTAATGAAACCCCAGGGTGCACTAATTACCAAACTTTCATTGCTATACTTTTTCTTCCGTCTATCCGTGAAACTTTCGACTCTTCTCAAGAGCGTTTTAGCGCTGTTCTTCAGTTTTTCGCTTCCACTCCTTCTAAGACTAATTCCGATATTTCCAGAGGTTTTCCGTGGGCTTTCGAGGGTAATTTCTGGGCTATATGTAGAGAACCCTTTTGACTCTGATCTGGAAGCTTGTCCGTCTTCGTCCATAAGAATAGTAGTTGGAGTATAGGCTTGATTAATGGGTTCTTGACGAATGCTATCAGAGCTACTATGTTGGTCTTCAACAAATACACTATCATAGCTACTGCTATTAAAAGCTTCTTCTATTGTGCAAGTTTCTTTTTTATTACAAGCATTTAAGGACTTCTTGGAAGATGCAGCTTTCCCTCTAATTGGTGAAGGAACCCTTGACCAGCGCTGGCTTGTTCGCTGAAACTTCCAGTTTTCACTAAGAGCACATTGTTCTTCATCATCACTTTCCTCCTTCTTATCCTAAGTTATAAGAATTAACATGAATAAAACATAATAAATTTTAAGTACAACTATTCGAATAGTATAAAACAAAATGTACGATTTTGCAGGATTTTACGATAATTCTCTTAGTCTACCATGAATTAAAATAATGAAACTTGGAAAATTGTTAAATAGAAAGAAAACTAATATGTACAGCATTGGAAATATTCATCTAAGTGCACAGGTGATACACGTATAGCAGTAACAAAAAGTAATTGTAAATAAATGGTGAATTTATCATTAGTACAGTACATTATTAAGATAAATTAATGGTATACTGATACTGACAGGTATAAGTTTGTTTTTAACCATCGATTCATTTCCTCAGGACGTGTTGGGTAGGAATTTATCTTTCAGCAAGAATGCATAAAATGTGATGAAGCATCATTACCTGGGAAGAAAAAGAGGTCGATGGTACATTGGCAACCATGGATTGACCGGCACAATACGAATATTTTTAAGGTTGTAGGAGTTTACATGGAAACCCAAATGATCAAACGGCAATCAAACAACTTGGCTGAGTTGTAGAGGGTGATACAGGATATTTAGAAGAATATTTCAAAATCAGTTTATAAATTAATGAAGTTCGTTTTGTACTTTCTACAATTTTATTTGGCAACAATAAATTATAGTTATTTTGATGGCAGAGTGGAGAGCAGCAGTACGGTCAATGTACAGTATTTGTGGTGAAATATGCTGGGGGACCAATACAAGTGTGGGTTGCATCTCAGTCAATGGTTTGGAGATTTATTTTGATTTATCTGTAAAGCCCCCACACACACACACTCCAGCTTTCTTCATCCCACTGTTGTAAGTCTGATGCCCATTTCAGCATTTTGATTTATTTATCTCTCCCAAAATTCAGTGGCTTTGGATCAGCTACACATCTGCTGAAGCCGCTTCATGCTAACACATATCTTGCTGTTCTAAAAGTAACAATCATACCTGCACACAAAGCTAGGTTGTTGGAAAGATTTTTGTAGTATTATGAACCACGCAAAGAGCATGCCCTGAATTACTTGACATCACTTTAAAAAGTTTGGACTTTCTTCTTCCACCGTTTCCATTATCAACATTACTAGTTTCAAGTACTCTCTTCACAGTTTCAGTACAGTTTCTACTGAAATATCGAATTTTACCTTAATCTGTCGCACAGAGGAGCCTATACCAGCCAAAATTTGGTTCCTACACGTTTGTCATATGACATATCTCTATTGGAAGCCATGAGTGCAATCACCACACTATTGCTGGGAACAGTATAATTGCTTGTGCTTTCATTGGCATTATCCTAACTTGACACTGTCTGATTGATTGAATAACAGCCAGTCACAGTGTAAAGTATCAACACGTTAATGTTCTCTAGTGCGATTCGTTTTCATACAGTAGAGATTTTGTTGAATAAGACCGATGTCTGTAGGTTTACTTTCTTCTTAGAAATCTTCTCAAGAAGTCGATAGGCCTTTTTAACATCGGTCTTATTCAACAAAATCTGCCTACAAGAAAATCTGTCACCAAAGTACACCAACATACAGTAGAGAGAGAATACTATTTCAGATACTGTTTTCATAATTATTTCCAATACTGGCAGAGAAGTGCTTTTCATAATGTTAAGTTAACAACGAGTAATTGTGTATTTCTAACCTGTTTAATCTTTGCTTTAACTCTTTTAAGAAATTATAATGCTGATTTTGATTAAAAAGACAATTAACATCAAAACGTCTAGAGTCACACTAATAAAGACAAAACATTGCTGCTGTACACAATAAACCCAAACAAAAATAAATTGATCACACTTACAGATTTTCTGGGTAGGTAATCTACTTTCATTTTTGCACACTTGTTAAGCGTATTGAGCCGTCTGCAATAAAATGGAATAACATACATTAGAAAATATCAAAAAACCTTTGACAGACAATTTTAATAAAATTTTGTTCGAATGTCAATATACCACTAACTCTCATGTAGTTTTGGTTCTCTACAGGGTGTAATTCACGTAACACTAATAAGTGTACTTTATATATATACATTTATTACACTCACACACATACATGTATATGCACAGATAAACATAAGTTACTACTATAAGAATGTACGGAAAATTTAACTTATTAATAATATACATTAATTATTCCTTACAATATCACAACTTTATTCCAACGTAGTATATTTGCCAACATTTTCTTGTTCCATACGTAGCCTAGTGGTTAGCATGTCATACGCAAACTCCGAGTTTGAGTCGTGGTGCTACCAACTATGCTTTGAAATTTTAACAGCAAGTGCACTATAAGAGCGACACTCTATCCTGCTATTTAGTTATCAGATCCTGTTCAGGCAGTAGGTGCTACCAACTGATTACCTTGTTTCTGGTTCGCGGTTCCAAATTAGGCCATTGTGTGCATGAAGTGTGTTTCAACAAACAAATAAACCCCAGCTTTTTCTTTGGTGCATATGAAGTGACGGAGAGATCAAAAAATTATTATTCAAATACACTCTTTGAAACAATTAATGTGTAATTGAAATTTGTAATATTATAAAGTAAAATCCAATGTTATGAAACAATGTCAATCCCCACTTTCCATTTACTATTACGCAACTCAGGCAGTAAACCAAAAATTTGGTAAGTGTAGTTTTACGACTTTACAGTTCACTTTAATACGAAGTATGATCACTCCGAACAGCAAGAGCAGTCAGGCATCGATATCGGGGCTGAAAATCAGAATGTTTCTAAAGTCCTGGTTCAGCCGACAGAATTTCAGCTAGTTTGGTACAGTTCTCATCCATTACACTGAAGTCAGAACCAACTGCACCAGCATATGGTTGCAGAAATGGTCGTAGAATGTAGTCCATACGACGCCATTAATGGTATCATTACGTAGGGTCTAAAAGTTAGTACATTTACCAGTAATCATCCGTACAAACAACATATTTCCACTATTGAAACACACAGCATATTCCTATATGAAAATGGTGGTGTACCTCGTTTCAGATGATCACGTCCGATTGTGGGTGTGTTGACCTCTATTACAGTGCGTTCGTTGACTTTTGGAGTGATGGATGTAACGTCAGACAGAAGTTACTCTTTGCCACACTTTTTTACTGGCTTGATCTGTCAATAAATTTGGCCTGCTTGTCCTGTTGTCTTCCAGTTCCAAAGAACATTACCCATAGTTGATGTGAGAAAACCCAATGTGATGGAAATGACGTGAACACTCATAACCTCCAATTAGCACCAATAACCTTTCTATGTTAGTGGTCAGTCAGCTTTGCGACATTTCAAACATAGCTAATATTCCCTATCTGCCGAACACCTTTTTAAGCATATGCTGCTTTGTACTACGGGGAACATATATACATGCAGGTTGTGAGGCTAATTCAGAGTTTGGGTGTGCTGTGTCAATACAGCTTCAGGTCAACATTAGGCTAATTCAGAGTTTGGGTGTGCTGTGTCAATACAGCTTCAGGTCAACATTATTTCAAGAAGAATAAATTTACATAAATATTCCTAACAATATGTAGTTGCATCTTATAAACGTAAGCTTTGTGATAATAAACTTCGATTGGTTCACAATAGTTTAATAACATAAAATATTTAGTTGAGTTATTCAAAAAAAAAATCTCCCAAATACTGCTTCGTAAAATATAGTTTTAAAAATTCTTTAAAGCCGAAAGCGAACATACAAGCGTTATCTTGAAAAAGATTGTGTTTGCAAACAAAGTCCGGCAGAAACAAATGACGTTTGCCATGAAGCAAATAGCCACTACGGTAGCTTATAAACTAGAATACCCATTTACATTCTTCTATAGCTAGTGAGAATTCTAAAGTATATACTGACTTGGTAAATCTTCCTATTATAATCATTTTTCAAATGCATTTTTTCGTAAGATTTTGAATTATAAGTTAATGAGGAAGTACGAATTTTCATATTTCACTCTTTCCCCTCACATTTCAGAGGAATATATTATTCGATTATAGGGTTTGTTCTGTCCCCCTTCTTTTGAAAGCAAAGTATACTCCCGGTTTCACTAAACACTGTTATCTTGGGAAAACTGTACTGTCATTCTATACAATTATGTATTTTGCAAGTCTCCACATTTCAAATTACTCACAAAAAAAGAATAAAATAAAATAAAAGAGACAAAAACCTGAAAAGTGCTCGGAATGAATCGGAATCTAAAAACTGGTGGTCCTTCCAGACACTTCTAATGTCAAGAGGAAATTGATTTTCTGCAAAATGAAGAAATATATATACAAACTCCAAATATTAAACAAACATGCATAGAAAAATGTTTCGGTTAACAAAAAATTATTAACTTAACTTTTCTAATTTTACATTTGTTCTCTGTACATTGGACTAATCAGAACCGTTTGCTTATTCACCGCGGAATTCAAACACATAACAACATAGTAATAATGGCTGGAGACGGCTTGAATGTCATCATCAGGTACAAAACCTTGTCGAAACGTTGTACATTTGTTGTTATGTTAAACTTATATTAAAGTTTTTCTTCATTACCCATTCAAGCCGTCTCCAGCCATTATTAGTCTCAAAGTGGGTTCCTCGTCATCGAATTTGAATAACACTATAGTGTTTATTTCATTATCCATTTAAATGATCCATATTGTTAAATCAAAGATATCAGTTCATGAAATGGTAAATGACATACCGAAATCAGATATAATTTGTCTTATGAATCACGATTATAATAGTCATTTCTGCGTATCACATTTATTGATTATTCTAATTGATATTGGGTATACAGATACATACAGCTACTTACCTAAAGATGTTCCTTTAATATAACTACAGATATATAGAGAAGAGGTTGCTTAGTCTAACTAGACGTTGAAAGAGTGCATGCGTCCCGATAAGCATCACCTCCCAACTTATTCCATTTATATAATAATGGGGGCATTAAAGCCAAAGACGTCCTTAAGCATGTTGTTACCTAGGCAACCAACCTTAAAAGAATTTCACTAAAATGTTGAAAAGGTTTCTCTTTTCTTCCGTTTAGTGAAACCTTTAGAAAGAAGTCCTTGGTGTTTCTAACACATTATTTTTCTTTTTGCAGGTGGTTATTTTTGTATGTAATTTAATATATAAATAAGAAACTTCTTATATAAATGACGTCATAGATTAAAAACCATTCAGCCAATAAACAGCAACATTCAATCCCTAATACATTTAAGAATCCACATATGTTAAAGTAAAAGATAAGTATGGTAAAAATAGACTATTCTGAAGAGTTTCGTAAGAAAATGAAACGAAATCAGAAAAATGATGTGATTTAACCTGGTTTTCTCCTTTAGATGAAAAATAATACGCATCTTTCAGACTAATGTTCTGTTATAAATATATTCAATAATAATGTATGCCGCATAAATTATGTGTTCTAATAAGTATTTAGCTGTGAGGAAGAGACATTGGAACACCATCAACAAGACCTGAAACCACCGTTTCAAATGAGGATCGAAGAACATCTCTGTTTCTGATTCATCCTTGTCCAGGATTACTGATGAGGAACAAATTCCTCCAAAGTCTAATTCCCAAGAATGGGCTAAGGAAAATACTGAATGTCTCCCCAAGCCCATTAAAATATTTTCTCTCAGACTTTCATACAAACAAAATTTAAAAAAGCATGCATTTAAAAGTAAGGAACAATACCACGTGCCTTGCTATACTCGAGGCACTATCTACGTGTTTCTTGTTCTATATTCTAATTTATTTCTCACGAGGAGTAACGATGGTGTGGAATAATGTAATCGTCAGTAATATTACTTATGAATGTAACTTGTAAGCAGGACTGTTTGAAGGTAATAGTGTTATTTCCTCAGCTGCTAAAGAATATCCGTTTTTAACAAACGCTCCGAATTGCTGTGCTTACCTATTTTAAATCACACTAAACAATTCTCTGCTATTAGACATTTCCTAAATGAAAATACTGAACTAAAGAGTGATTTACACGAAACTTTGTTTATCGAAATTCCTATTGCAGTATGCGTGCGAATTACACAGCTAGAGCACAGTAAATGCAAATATTAATGTAAATTATGATGATAATTCGTACTTTCTACTGTTTTATATAATTACTTACGATAACTTATGTTTTTAATGGGCGATATGTAAATTTTTTGTTGTTGTTAAATTACTGAAGCACATGATTAGTTAAGGTTAAAATAAATACATTCGTCTGAAGTTTTTACGAACTGATATAAGTTATGTTAAGACTTTTAAGTTTAGGTTACATTCTGTACTTATTTGTGAAAATATGGCACGTAAGACGTATTCTTACCTTCATATAACTGAGCGTACTGCGGAAATCCAGCTGCTCTCAACCAACGACATGCTTCTTGGGCTTCGATTTCTAAAATCAGAAAACAGAAAAACAATCGTTGTTATTCAAGTTTGTAATTAAGTAAACGAATTAACCTTAACGTCCTTATTAGTGCTCCAAAGATATCAAAAGTTCATACGTCACAGCCCATCTTTAAATCACACAACTTATACTGAACACTGGACTAAGCTGAAGAGTACTATAATTCGGTTTTCAGGTGTTTGTGAATAAACTGTTCAAGCACGTGCCGCAAACAAGTCTGAGTTCAAGCCAGGAGGAGTATGGAGTATACCACAGGTGGGTGATTCATGGCGACCCCTAAGGGATAGATGAATCATCATAACTACTCTATGACTAGTTCTGTCCCAACAAAGTTTTCTTAGTCATCTCGCATGGACAAAATATCTTGACGTTCAACTCATGTGTATGTAATTACGTTAATAGTAGTAAGTTAATCAATACATATGTATTGTCATTTGTACCCGAAACTCATCACCACGAAATGATGCTTATCATTAGTGCAATTATAATGTCTAGAAATTACCATGAAACATTATTTAATGCAATTATCATAAACATTAATAAAAACTTGAGCATATACAAATTTTTGCTTAAACAACTTTTATTTTTAGTTGAATATATTTGAAATAATAACAGGACGACAGGTGTTATGAGGTATTTTATTGTGGTTGTAAATTAACGTGATTTTGAAAAAAAAAACAGCACGAATATCAATTTTTACTTCAATTAACAATAATCTGTGGTAATGAAGCTAGAAAGTAAAACTTTTTTATGCTACGTGAAAATATTATATAACCACATAAGTGCTTTCATAAATTGTGAGCCGTTATATATCTGCTTTAGCACATAAGCTAACTATCCTGATTTTTAAAATTCTGACGTCATCAGATTTACCTCAAACCTAAAAATACAGCAAATGACTTCCAACCTTACCTGTCCTAAAATTAGGCCAAAAAGTCACATTTTACATTAACAGATAACTGCTATTTTGGGGTGGAACATTTGCATGGAGCAATTTTATCCTTGGGTCCAAAGGTTTACATGAAAGGAGGTGCTACCTCCAAATACGCTTATCCTGTAATGAGGTAAAAAGGTTAAATTTTGGGGGTTTAAGTCACAAAAATTTACAAATTAGCGAGTTTGTATGAAGTGTTAAAACGATGCACATCCTGGATTTCGAAAATGCAGTCAGTGCACAAAATGTATATACTTATAGCTAAATTATATCTTGTGATTAACATTATATATCCCGCAAACATTTTAATTCAAGCACAAGAATTTTAACATATCATCAAGTTTACATGCCATGGTTACAATTTGTTATGGTGTTGTCCGTATTAACTATCAAAGTGAATTCCTAAAATGAACTTTTCTGTAAATCAAGTGTCCTTATAATTAATGCATGGTTGCAAAATCATCAGTTTCCAGTTCAGAAATCATTTCTATATGCTCATGACTTTCTTAAGTAACACTTGTTAACTAGTACTTCATTTAGTTTTCCACACGAGGCTAGTTTATAACTGTCCTATTGTTAATTTTGACCTCGACAAAACCCCTCGGCTCTGGATAATGCACTTTCTAGCTTAATGTCTTTGTACTGCACTGGTGCACGCAGCTATAAGTATGATGTATTCAAAAATCCGTACAATTCAGACTCAACATCTTGGTATTTTCATTAGTTTGGTGTTATATCTATTGGTATAACGATTAACATTGTTAAGTGGTGATTAGACATTTTGTTGTATTATTTTCTACGTATGACATACCCGTGATTGTTAAAAGGCATTGACGATGATATTTTTATATTTCATAGATGTTAAATCTATTGGTATAACGATGAACATTGTTAAGTGGTGATTAGACATTTTGTTGTATTATTTTCTACGTATGACATACCCGTGATTGTTAAAAGGCATTGACGATGATATTTTTATATTTCATAAATAATCAATGCGATTTTATTTTGAGTATGAGTAAAAGACTTAAATGATATCCAGCGACAACTGAAGATAGCGAGATATACTATGTTTTCTTTTAAAGTTTCTAGTGCATACTGGAGGGATTTACACATTGTGATAAAAGTTTAGTTTTGTATATATTAACCCTGAAGAAGCCGTAAAAGCGAAACGTTGGTAGTAATAGAAAAACATATATATATACATATGGAGCATCAAAGCCGTTTATCTAAACCTTTATCACAATGAGATATACTATGTGGTTATATTTGTATATCATTAAGCAATTGACGTAGCTGACAAAAATTAGGGAGATGTTTTTCCTTACGGTTAAACTACTCATACAAAAACATTCACCATTTAATGTTTTTGATATGCGAGTGACATAATGTTTTAATCAAGAAGGTTCTTGCATTAACCTAAGTTAATAAGTTGTAATAAGTCGAAAATAAATTGAAAGATGATTTTTGTCTTTCTTGCATTATTTATTTGTTTGAAGTTAAGTACAAAGCAACACAATGGCTTATCTGTGTTCTGCTCACTACGGGTATCGAAACCCGGTTTCTAGTGTTGTAAGTCCGCCGACATGCCGCTGTAACACGGAGGGGGGGGGGGGTTCTTGCATTAACCTGAGTCCTGTAATAAGTCGGAAATAAACTGAAAGACGTTTTTCTTTGTTTGTTTTTGTACAACGATTGGTCGATGTTACTTTGTTTGCATTAAATAAAAATACAGTTTTAGATTACAATTTTTATTTATTTATTTTTTTGCTAGCATATGATCTGAAAACCAGGTTCAACTATTCTTTGATTTGTTTGTTTTGTAATTAAGCACAAAGCTACACAATGGGCTATCTGTGCTCTGCCCACCATGGGTATCGAAACCCGGATTCTAGCTTTGTAAGTCCGCTGTGCCACTGGGGGGGGGATATTCTTTGACTAGAGAAGCTATCATTATTTTCAAAGTGGTTTAATTTTGAAGAAATACAATATTTATTTTCACTGGCAATGTAGATATTTTACGATTGATGTTCGAGCACTATTACTTTTAAAAACTAGTGTTTTGTTGTTGTTGTTTTATATTAGATAAACTTCAAGTTTTATATTAGTTTCCCGGTTCTGAGAATAAATGATACAGAAAATCGCAACTTACTGCTTTTATTATATTCTTATTATTATATATTTTTCTTATATTTTCTGTTCTGTAGAACATATCACGAACAACCGGATTTTGCAAAATCCAAGGGCGCATTGTAGTTGGGTAGGGTTTCCATATGAGATTGATATCTTTGTCGCAAGAAGAAATCCAAGCGCCCCTTTGATACAGATTTTCATTAAACTTTCGATGCAATCTAACTATAACATAAAATTAAGTTCACTGCGTATAAGTAAATGTCAGATACCACACAAAACAAGACTACATCAGATACGATTCTATATCAATAATACGACTTTGATTTAAAACACAAAAACATTCTGCCTTTAACTCAGCTTTTGAAAAATTAAACTACGGTCATTAGATTATACATCGCTTTGTTATATTGAAAATTAAACTACGGTCATTAGATTATACATCGCTTTGTTATATTGAAAATTAAACTACAGTCATTAGATTATACATCGCTTTGTTATATTGAAAATTAAACTACGGTCATTAGATTATACATCGCTTTGTTATATTGAAAATTAAACTACAGTCATTAGATTATACATCGCTCTGTTATGTTGAAAATTAAACTACAGTCATTAGATTATACATCTCTTTGTTTTATGGTCTGGTGTGGTTTATTGTTTAACGTGCCGTGCTGTGGATCTGAGGTTCCAGGTTCGCGTCCTGTTACCTCAAAATAGCTCCCCGCATTTTGGGGTCGTGGGTGCGTTATAAGAATGACTGTCATGTTTCTCTACTCGGTTAGTGGAGACTGTTAACTAACTGTCTTTCTTGTTGTCTGTTCCCTGATGTGAAAGCGGTAAGTTTGCGGATTTATAACACTAAAATCCGGGGGTCGATTCACCACAGTAGAAAGCCTACATGTAGCTTTGTGCTAAAACAAACCTTCTAGTCTATCTGGAATGGCCAGATGGTTAGGGCTCTCGACTCGAAATCTGAGGGTGACGAGTTCGACTCCCCGCCCCACCAAACAAGCTCGACCTTTTAGCTGTGGGGGCGTTATAATGTGACGGTCAATCCCACTATTCGTTGGTAACAGAACAGCCCAATTGTTGGGGGTGGGTAATGATGACCAGCTGCCTTCCTTCTAGTCTTTCGCTGCTTTGCACGAAATTCGAAACAAATCAAATCTACTCTATCAATTTGAAATTACGGACGCAAAAAGTCCTAGTTGCGCTTTGCTCGAATAACCGAAATATTTCGCTAGCTAATCAATGAAATAAAACTTTTGTTTTATATATTCACTAAGAAGAAATCACTGATGTAATGAACGTAAAATAAAAGTTCGCAGCCACCCATTCAAGATAAATGTCTTAGGATAGTTTAACATAACTTTTGAAGAATGATGCACAACGTGTAATGGAAATGTACATAATACTAACGTGACGAATATTCCAAACATAAATAACAATTTCTACCAATGTATTAACTAAATGTGAAGATGTTTGTGACAGAATATATTATTTGTAAATAGTTCTATTGAATACTATACTGTTCGTTCTAACCCGATACTTAAAGACAATGAAGTTAACTTACATACAGGTTCACCATAATACAACTAGGGTGTGATTACTATAATGTGTAGCTTACAGCGACTAAATTTGCATCTGTTTGATTTCTCTCGTCATTTTGCCTTTGTTATGTTCTCCATAGACCTCGTGGATTGCGTTATGGAATACCCGGATTTAAATTTTGTACAAAGATTGAGGATAAATACAGATAATTTTTTTTATAATAGGTTATTCCCATATACAGAAAATCCATAAAGAATTGATTTATTGTGTCCAATAAGTATATGTACATATAGTTTAAAATAACAAGTTTGTTATTCTGACACTGTTGCGAATAGGAAGGGAAAACATTCAAACATATAAATTAGCGTCT